GTTGATGAGAATGTAAATTAATGTATTAGCACGTTGCAAGACAATAGAATCTGTATAAACTAAAAATATGCATGACCTGATAAGCGAATATATAACTTTATTTGATTTAGATATATTCACATGCCATAAAATTCACCCTTTTAAGGTATATAATTCAGTGGTTTTAGTACATTCAGAGTTGTGCAACCATTGACACCAGTTCCAAAACATTTTCATCACCCCAAAAAGAAAACTCCATACCCATTAGCAGTCACTCCCTCCTTTTCCTCCTTGCCCAAAGAAGCAACCTACAGATTTGCCTATTTCAAACAAAGGGACTTATACTATATGTAGCCTTTTGTAACTGGCTTCTTTCACTGGGCATAATGTTTTCAAGCTTCACCCAGTTTTAATATGAATCATTACTGCATTTCTTTTTATGGCTGAATAATATTCTATTGTATAGATATCTATCACCAGTTGCTAAGACATTTGTTTCTCATTCTGCCTATTATGAATAATGGTGCTGTGAACATTCCTATACAAGTTTTTGTGTGGACATGTTTTCAATACAATGTAGAACTGCTGGGACATGTGGTAACTATGTTTAACTTTCTGAAGCACCACAAACTCGTCCACAGCTACACCATTTACACTCCTACTAATAGTGTGGGAGGGTTTTATTTCTCCACATCCTCTCCTGCACTTGCTATTATGTGTCTTTTGTTATTATTATTATAGCCATCCTAATAGGTTTGAAGTAGTATCTCATTGTGGTTTTGATTTGCATTTTCCTAATGACGAATGATGTTAGGCATATTTTCATATGCTTATTGGTCATCTGTATATTTTCTTAGAGAAATATCTTCTCAAATTTTTGTCCATTTTTTAATTGGGCTGTCTTTTTATTAATGAGTTGTAACAGTCCTTTATATAGTCTAGATACTAGACTCTCATCTGCTATATGGTTTGCAAATATTTTCTCCCATTCTCTGGATCGTCTTTTCATCTTCTTGACAGTACCCTTTGAGGCATGAAAGTTTTTAATTTTGATGATGTCAATTTTACCTATCTTTGCTTTTGCTGCCTGGGCTTTTGGTGTCATATCTAATATACATATCTATATACATACAGAGATATAGAGAGAGACAGAGATATATAGCTATTCAAATGGATAAAGTTTAGAAACATTCTATTAAGCAAAAAAGGTTAAGTGTACAACAATTTAAACAGAACTAAAGCATGTATGTAAAAAGATGCACAGAATCAGACTGCATGGGCTGAGTACACAAGTAAAGTACCTAAAGGTATCTCTTCAAGGTCTGGAAAAATACTCAGCACACTGCTGACACTCATCGCTTCTGCAGAGGGAAAAGAGGCACCAAGAACGGGTAGGGTGTTCTGAAAGGAGTTGAGTTCTGTCATTTTTCTCCCAAAGGGAAATCTATTCACTAATTACTTGTGTGATTAAAAATTAATAATGTGTAATTTATGTGAGTTGTAAACAGAGATTATAAATATGAAATCATAGCTTAATACAGGGGCTCGTTTGTGCATCCCTGCACCCAACCTCTCTGTACACACACACATACACACACATGCATGCAGAAGTAATCTTACCAATTCGGATTTTCCATACTTTCCCGGAAGACAGACTCCTCCTTCATGGATGCATACCGTGTCCACGTTAGGCAGTGACTCTGTATAGCCATGTTTCTTTCCCGAGGATTGAGCCATGATTCCTCTTCCAACTGGATACTGGGTACTTTTAAAATGCTCACCTGTCCAATAGAGGGGGGATGGCTTTCTCAATTTAGGAAGAGCAGGTTACATAAAGATTGCATCCAGAATTGCTTTCAGTCTTATATAACTAAGAGGACAAATGATCCTGACATATGAATGACAGCTCATCAATGGCTCTAAGTACTTGATAATCAAATATTCTATGTCCTTACTAAATGCTGGTGAGGACATGCAAATGGCCTAGAATTTATGGAGGATATACTGTCCCTGGCCTGATTTCCCTAACTGCTAAACACTAAGCAAATTATCAGTCTCCTCCATGTCTCCTCTAAGGCCAGTTATGGCCTTCTTAAATTGATGGATTCTAATTGGGCCCACTTAAGGGCTTGCAAGCAGGACGATATCAGGTAAAATATTTTCTTCATTTTAAACTCTGTTCAATACCTAGAAACGTATGCTTTCCTAGGTAGAGGAGACACGGAAGACTACAAAGGCAGAATTGTACAAGTCAGAGGTGTCCTTAAATTATTTAAGAATTGAGATACAACTCAGAATTGAATGCCTTTTTAAATAATAGATTCAAAGTGTGTATATAGGGCAAAGGCAGGGTA